CATCTAATAATCTGAAGTCTGGTAACTACACAAAAATTCATTTCAAATCACAGACGCTTCACAGCCCAGTAAGGGAAATGTCGTGAAGGCAGTGGCAGCCATCTTGAAAACTTCAGCCCACTCAAATATGGCATCTCTGACTGACAAGGATGCTTTCTAACTTGGGCTGGTTGGGAATGAAGGACCTTTCTCCCCTGGAAACCCATTTTCCTGTATTTCATTCAGAGGGAGATGCTCTTTCTTAGAATGAAACACCATACAAGTAAGCAGGGCTGCTGAGAATGACATTACAACTAAAGAAACCAGTGTCAGTTGGAAGGTTACCCCCAAAGGTGGAGTCACATAAGGAAAGCCTGGATCCAGATACAGGAATTTGAGGGCAGCGTATTACGCCCATTCACATAACAAACTATAATTCCTGCCACTCCCAGCTGTAATATTTCACTGACTAGAAAACATGAACACACAACACTATGAGTTGAGGCAGAAGGAAGTTCAGTAGGATGCTCTTCTCCTTCTTTATATTTTTTTCCACATATATTTTTCTTAGCATGGGAATTCCATAAATTTTAACTCTTGAAAACACATGACTAATCACAAAGGTAAACCTCTTTACGAGGTGCTGGGTTTTATAGTTAGCATCACCCACAAAACTCTGTAGCTTCCAGTTGACCTGGAAGCCAGCATGTCACCAAACATGGAGAACTTCAGCCACACACAGATTTGCTACCCATCTAGCTGGTTTTATTTCTGAAAAAGTCCTGCTAAATGTTTCACGTGCCCCTTCCTGCCATGGCCTGTGTCCTCCATTTTCTTCACTTAATAAAACAAAAGGCTGGTATATTTAGAGTGCAGCTGGGAAGACGGAAAAGACAAGAAGGGTGTTGACAACAGAAAACAACAATGATGATGAAAAGAGTAAGGCATTTGGGATTATGAGCTATATTGGATAAGAATATGTAATTGAGTAACTGGACGTACTTCTCCATTAGGCACGGTTGTATAAATCAAAATTGAAATAGACTCGTAAAAATCTCATAATACTAATGTTGTTAACTAAAGTCTATAACGAGAGAAATTCATGTTTTTCTGATGCCTATGGGGCTCCACGTGAATTCTCATCATAATGGACGGCCCCTGCCTATGGTCACTGGGCAGGCTCAGTCTGTGAAGAAAAACAACAACCTATTTATCTCCATCAGGAATCCTGCCTCAAACAGCCACCCCCACACTGTCTATCCCTTCTCCAAGCTGGAAACCTTGGAGGCCTCCTTGATTACTCCCTTAATAAGTGAGTGTTTACTGAATAAAATTTCCCACTCATTGAACACTGCTACTTTATTTTTTAGAGAGACAGAGCGGGGAGAGAGAGTGTGTGTGTGAGAGGAGGAGAAAGACAGAGGGAGGGAGGGAGGAAGGGAGAGAGAGAGAGAGAGAGAGAGAAAGAGAGAGAGAGAGAATCTTAAGCAGGCTCCACCCTCAGCATGGAGCCTGAGTTGGATGCTCAACTGACTGAGTCATGCAGGCACCTCGAACACTACTGCTTCTTAACATATAATAAGGGGGAAAAAGGGGGGGCTGAGGTACACTGTAGATCAGGGGTTCTCGACCTCAGCAACAGCCATCTGGGGCTGGATAGGTCTTTGTTGTGAGGAAGATGTGATCTTGTACATTGTAAGATGTTTAGTAGCATCCCTGGCCTCTCCCCACTAGGTGCCAGGAGCAATCACCATTACCACCACCCCCAGCTGTACAAACCAAAAAGAAACTTCCACACATTGCTAAGTGTTCCCTGGGAGGTACAGCAGTCAGCCCTCTGTTGAGACCACTGGTGTAGAGAGTGACAGATGGCCTCATAAAGGGGAATTCAGGTAAAATGAACCGGACTTGTTTCAGAGCCCATTAAAGAATCCAAGAAAGGGCACAGTCCTCTCCTGGCTAATTTTAGGGGTAGAAGTTGAACAGATGATGGCACAGGTGAACTGGTACTTGACCCACAGCAACGACCTGTACCAATGGACATCGATGTACCATGTACATTCAGTTTTGCCTGAATGTCATGGAGGTCTACCGTGACAGGTTGCTTTGCCCCTCAGGCGTGGCCCTAAACGTCGTGGAACGTAAATTCTATTGTTTCACTTGCCCATCAGCCCACAGAGCATTAATATCCTCCTTCTACTGCTCCAAGTTCCTCTGTGTGCCAGGTGGATGAGACGGGTCTGAAGCCCTGATGCCAGCAGGCCTTTGATGCACCATCTGCGTCATGAGTCCACCACTGTGACAAAGCCTAGGACTGTGAGTCTTCATCCTTCCATGACGCACCAGCCATACCAAGGTCATGAGGACCAAAACTATTTCAGAGAGGCCAACCTCACGTCTTCGGGTTTCAGGACAAGATTGCTACATGAAGGCTCTTCCTGCCTTCCAAGAGGAAGCAGCGGTCTATTCCATTGTGAAACCCTTAATCGTTTCTCAAATCCAAAGTGACTGAATAAACGTGCAAGCCAAGGGTTCATAGCTTACAAACAGACCATGTTCCCTTCCAAGCACAACCAGGCCTGACCCTGCTTAGCTTCCGAGATCAGACGAGATCGGGCACATTCCAAAGGATATAAAAATGCTGACTCAAAGGGGCACACGCACCCCAATGTTTATAGCAGCACTATCAACAATAGCCAAATTATGGAATGAGCCCAAATGGCCATCAACTGATGAATGGATAAAGAAGATGCAGTGTGTGTGTGTGTGTGTGTGTGTGTGTGTGTGTGTGTGTGTATACATACACATACACACAATGGAATACTACTCAGTGATGAAAAAGAATGAAATCTTGCCATTTACAACAACGTGGATGGAACTAGCATGTATTATGCTAAGCGAAATGAGTCAGTCCGAGAAAGATAAATATCGTTTGTGGGATTTAAGAAACATGCCAGATGAACATAGGGGAAGAAAAGGAAAAATAAGAAAAACAGAGAGGGAGGCAAGCCATTAGAGACTCTTAAATACAGAGAACAAACAGCATTGCTGGAAGGGTGTTGGCTGGGGGGATGGGCTAAATGGGTGATGGCCATTAAGGAGGGCACTTGTTGGGATGAGCACTGGGTGTTACATGGTAAGTGATGAATCACTAAATTCTACTCCTGAAACCATTATTATGCTATATGTTAACTAACTTGGATTTAAATTTTAAAAGAAATAGACCACGTTCCAAAAATACATCTGCCTCTAAATCACTTGTTTGGGCAACACAACATATCCTTCTTTAGAAACAATGCACGAAGAGACAACAATACCAATTTGCATTTGTGTAATATGTTTTCACTTACAAAGTACATTCAGATCCATTATTTCATTCAGTCTGTGAAATAGCATGTGAAATATTTGGGGGTTATTGTTTCCAAGTTCAGAAGAAGAAACTTCAGTTTGCAAGGGATATAAATGAAAAGCAGTCCATAAGACACCATCCAGGCCATGATGTTCTTGACCCACAAGGACCCTGGGGAATCGCCCTCATCATCTGGACAACAATGATTCTGTTGGAAAATATTCCCGGGCGCTGTGGGCATGCCCTTCTGCTGTTGACTCAGCGACTCTCTCTCTCTGTTTCCCTTCCATGATGTAGCTTTGTGCTATCCAGAACTTCATCCAAGTCATCGATAAAAGTAGACCACAAGGGAGGGCGCAGGACCCAGCATTATGGCTTCTAGTGGCTTCCCCATCAGGAGGGCCTCAAGACCCTGAACTGCACTTGATGCATCTACCTGTCCAGACCATGCATCAGCCTCTGTTTCCCCTACACTCTTCACTCCCAGCTCCAAGCTGCTGCTAGAGGCTCATGAAGCCCGGAGTGCGAGCTCTAGGAGGGTGGTGGGTGGAGATGAGGTTGGGGAAGGAGCAAGAGAATCCAGAGAAGATGTCCATTTAGGAGCCCCCCTCACCTCTGGCCTCATCTGCTGCCTCAGGGCCACTGGAATGAATAGCTAGGATGAGGTGAGGAGGGCACAGAACCACAGGCAGCAGAGACAGAAAAGGAGGAGGAGGGGAACCGCCTGGTGGCAGCAGGAACCAGGCAAGAAGAGGAGGGACAAGCCCCAGGAGGATCGTGGAAAGCCATACGGATGGGGAATCTGGTTTGGGGCACATATAATTCAGTTTGCTTAAAGCTGACACACTGGCGCTCCTCCCCAAAGCTCCTCAGACTTCATCAGAAACAACAGACTTGCATGCTAACGCAGACTCCTGGCCACCACTCCAGAGCTACCCCCGGAGTCGGCCTCCCAACTCAGGGTGGCCTGCTCCAGGTGATGTGAGGATTGCCCAGCAGGAAACACGGCCCTAGATCCTGCGCTCCTGGCCACCCCACGTCCTCTGGACATCACCTGTGTCTGCTCCCTGTTTGCTGTGGCAGGTGCGGGCTGTGAGCTGCAGCTTATCTGTAGGAGGAGACGGCGTGGTTTAGTCTTATTCCAGTCCCTCACTTGTTTTGTGTTATTTTCACTCTTCTCGGGTATTTCAGGAGTCACATGTATAGGTAAGCTTCACCACAGCCTTGGAGCAGCTGCTCAGAACGTGGCTGGCGCGGATGCCCGGGCTGGACACATCTTTTGGAAGTGTCTCTGTGGTGAGAAATATGGCCTTGCGTGACAGATGTGAGATGTGACGGGAGCCCCAAATCACTTGGCACTAAGTCTGCAGGCTGAGGCAAGTGATCCGGCAGGGAAATCACACTCGGGTCTGAGGCCACGGGTCTGCCGTCCCGGCAGGACCTGAGCACGGAGGAGATGGTGGGGCTCCGAGTCTACACCCAGCAAGGGCAGTGTGAAGGTCAGAGCTCCCTTGAACAGGCGTGTTTTCTTTAAAACCGCAGCTCCTGTTATTTCAGCCTCCTCTGGTCTGATGGTGGGAGCTTGGCTCTCCCTGAATAGGTGCCTCGCTATACCCATCCCTGCAGGACGGTGTCAGACAACCATGGGGACGGGCCCCGGGCAGGGACTCACCTTGCCAGTGATGCTTGTAGTCACACATGCGGGACAGGGCAATCATCATGGCGCAGTATAGGGGCAAGATGGCGGCACAGAGCCGCCAGCTCTTCCCCCGCCCGCTCTCAGTGAAGCAGTGCAGCTTGCCAGCCAAGTAGAACGTCGTGAAGCCAAGGCCAGAAAAGGCAACTGCCAAAGAGAAACAGCAGGTGTTACTCCAGCAGGCGGTAACGGTGGCAGGGACGCGGCACACACCGGGCATCCTATCTACCATCTTGCGCGCCCCAGGGCCAAGGCATGCTGGCACCAGGCACCATCTAGGCAATCTGTGCTCTTGCTAGAACCACGCTGGTATGAAACTTTTAACAATCAGAGTGGCTTTCCAGGCTTGTGTGTGATCAAAATCTTTTCCTTTTCTTTCTTTTTTTCTTTTTCTTTTTCTTTTTCTTTTTCCTTCCTTCCTTCCTTCCTTCCTTCCTTCCTTCCTTCCTTCCTTC